TTAACAACACTGTTCCAAATTGAAGCTATGCCCAATTTCAGACCAAACCATCTCAATAATCATTCTCTTAGACTATATATACCTAGATAACTTACATTACAGAGTATATCCCCTTCCTGGGAGTACTCAACCTCTCTGTCTGAAGTACGATGGAGTTGACGAACGTTATTGATATAGGTAACCTCGAAAACATATAAGAGTTATTAAAGCTCACCTTCATCACTCGATTCCTTTCGGTTAGCCGTCACAGTTGCTGCTGTTAAATCATCAAGTTTTTTCATGACATCTTTCATCGTGGTTCCAATCTCTTTCAGCTCATCTTTGATGTTGTCCTCGTCCTTTTTCCATTCACTGAGAAGTTGTTTGTAGTGATCTTCAATTTCAGGGTCCATGCACTCAGTTTCCAGATTGTCAATAGGTGCCCTGTACCTATCACCTCCCAGTCTCACCAGAGTGTCCCGGATGTCTTGCCAGTACGCGTTAAACGTTGTGTCATCAACCGAAGCTTGTTCGGCATGCGCGTACACAATGTTTCTAAAGTACTTAATACGAGCAATATCCGCCTCACGAGTCATGTCCGTTGCAGCGGGAAGTGTGTCCCATCCGGTTATTGGAGATGGCAAACCGCACAAATTTCGCAGCAGAACCATCAAAAGAGTGATGTCAAAATCTTTCGAGGACACTGCCAAATGAATGACAGGAAAGAGCTTGCCCCATTGCGTGGCACTGATAATTCTTCTCGATCTGAGACCCTGTAAAGTGGGTTTATTTGCCGCCAAAACTGCGTGAAGATTTGCTGGCGCGTGAATGGCATCAAGTGTGTCCCTGAGGGCCTGGTTACCAACATCAATCAGAAGACGACACAAGCATGCGTAGTTGGTCGTCTCTTTGGTGGATGAAGTTGCTGGTGTTGTGCTTTCCATGAGAGTAATCTGTTATTGATCAATCTAGGTAAAGAATGAAAGAAATAATTTATTTCACAGTACTGTTGATTTAAAAATCAATGTTTATACTGTCAATGTAAAGGAGGAACTGGTATTTCAAGAATGGCCTTTCTTCACTAGTTTTTGCCTCGTGTCCACATCACCAAAGTCACGTGGACACGAGGTATACGTTGGCTATCGTTACACTCTTGTTTAAGAAATTCCTGTATAACAATTCTTTGCCGCTTAATGTAAGATTAGTGTGAATGGCGGTTCTGAAAACTCGCGGGTTACAATCACTTTTGTTATAAAAGACAGGCATACAACGTTGAATTGACGGCCGTTTGTGCTATTGATTTTGTGACTGAGCCCACGAGCACAACTCGCTCGCGATATAATTTTTTTTGGGAACAAATAACAGGCTGAAACGTTGAAGCGACGGGTTTTAGTCACACGGACAAATCTAAAGATCGCAATAAGCGGATTAAAAACCAACAACTAATGGTAGTTTTTTCGCCGCCGAAAGTGAACTTGGTTCGGCCAGAGAGGGATTTCGCTTCTTAGGGTGGAAAACCAACCTACTCGCAAACGGTCTTAACCCACCGCTAAAAAGCTTTTTCAATGTAAAATCACAAGAAAGGTCAAGAAGACAACTAAGATGAGTTTAAAGGAAAATTTTATCGTGTAATTACATGCAATTTAAAGCGACAGCAGTATTTCTCATACAATCTCTTACAACAAAGGTCATGACTAATTATTAACTACGCTCCATATATTTTAAAATTAGAGTTGAACTCTAACACTGTATATCGATATTTTGAAGCTCACATACTGAGCTTGGGCCACCTGTGAGGGCATCAGGTCAAATCGAATTAAATCGTAGTGATACCAGAAGTGTAACGCTTGTATTCTGTTCCTTTACAATTTATTTAAATCATGAGGTATAGTACGAGTGTCACGCTACTAGCGTACAAGTACTTGCATTAATGTGAGCAAGTGATCCAATCACCCGAAACCGAGAGATTATGATATTAAAAGCTAAAAGGCATCACGCTGAAAAACATCACGCGAAAAGGCATTACGCGAAAAGGCATCACGCAGAAAGGCATCATGTGAAAAGGCATCAGGCTTAAAGGCATCACGCTAAAAGGCATCACGCAGAAAGGCACCGTTACAAAAATTATATTGAGTTCGGGACTTACTCTTCTCACTCGTTTCTTGTGAGATAATAGCTTTCTCAAAATGGTTTTTGAGCGAGACATTCCGTCTTTAATTTGTCCCCTCGCGAGGTCTTTATTCAGTATCCGAGGCATGCCTTGAGAGAGTTAATACAGCAAGTGAGCAATGGACTCGAAATACGTTTGCGTTTCTTTCCGTTTAAAACATATGCATGAGGTCCTTTTGAGATCGACGAGTGTTTTCCAAGATGGTAGACAAGGCCTGTGCGTTCTTGGTAGGACTTTGGCAATAGTACAAGAACCTCTTGAACATGAATTCACTACTGCAGCTACACCTTTCCTTTATTCTGGTGCAAGAGGAAGAGCACGTGTAAAGATACAAGCAGAAGCGTTAAAATTTCTTCTTGCCTGATGCCTTTTCGCGTGATACTATTAAGCGTGGTACCTTTTCACGTGATGCCTTTCTGCGCGATGCCTTTTCGCGTGATGCCTTAAAGCGTGATACCATTTCGTGGGATGCCTTATTAAAGCGTGATGAATTTTAGCGTGAAGCCTTTTTAAACGTAATGACTTTTCGCATGATACGCTTTTGCGTGATGCTTTTCCTCGAGATGCCTTTTAGCGTGATGCCTATAAGCGTTATGGCTTTTGGCATGATGTCTTTTGGCGTGACGCCTTTTAGAGTGATGCCTTTAAGCAGTGGATTTCTCTGCACTCTAAAACAAGTGAATAAGGCAGGCTAAAAGGGCCTTTTGATTTGTTCCAGTGGAGAAATACGTCCAGAAAATTTAGCTTTCTGGAATCGTCGGAATTCGGGCGACTTTCACTGGTCGGATCGTCTTGCGGATAAGATTTCAACAGACGCGTAACACGATCGCTTGACGCTTAGTTTGCTCACGCCATAGTTAGCAAAGACTATGCTCACGCGCATTGCTAGGATTTGCATTGCATTGCATGTGAACCGTGAATCTATTCTGAAAAAAACGGTCAAGTGAGATTCCTCTACATCCTAAACCGATCCTGCAGGCCGCTCTGGAAAAAAGTGTGAATGAACTGAAATCAATCCGACTACTCAGATCTGCCACGCTAGGAACATAAGATCCAAAACTTGAAAAGGTCAAATAAAATAGAATTACAACATGGTTAAAGAGAAGAACAAAATTAACGTTGAATCGAACTTAAATCGACTGAGTCGACTCGACTTGAGCGTAACGCGGGCTACGCCCCCAGAAACTACTGACTTCTTTTTTATTCAGACGCCCATGACGACTGTCTGTACAAAAACCCGAGACAATTGAACGAAAAGACCGAAACGACCGAAACGCAACAGCCGAAACGAGCTAAACGAATCAACGAAACCGTGATTAGAGAAGCCACTGTCAATAAGAGCTAACGTAGACACGTTATTTTGAGACGTTTTGATTAGTCTTCAAACCAACCCGAGAGCAGGACTGCAGGTATGATCAGGTATACAGTCTTCTTAATGGACTCCGGTTGAATAGCCTCTTGTCAGAGCCTAAGCGTTAGCTTTAAGTTGTGATAACTGGTTCTCATGTTTCGTTGATTTCGTTTGGTTTTCGTCGTTTCGGCCGTTTGGTTTGTTTTTAATGAAGTACAGGCCACCCATGCGACAAATGGATTGTTAACAATTAGATACATATTGCTTTATGGATATGTGACTTGAAAATATGACTACAAAATCAATCAAACAAACAAACCTGTGGATCTTGCGTAAAATCGTATGAACACCAAGACAGGAACTTTATTGTGGCAGGATATGCACGCTTAAAGAAGGCGACGCTTTATCGAAATTTGTCACTACAGTGGACTGTGTTCACTGGCAGAGCAATTTAATTCAGGGTTTTATGCGGCTAGAATTGTGTAGTGGCTCCACCCATCACGAGACTTCTCAGAACAGAAGAGTCTTGACCTGATTTCCGCATTCGAATAAAGGATTCCCTTCAGGGGTGGTGTACGTGACTAACTACTGTTTTTATTCCACAGTTTACGATATCTTCTTGAGAACTGCGGGAAAAGTGAGCGAGGAAGACATATTTGTCACCAGAAAATGGAACAAAAAAGAAAGCAAAGAAGGAAGATCACCTTCTCCAAGTTTCACTTAGTGAATCTTTCCCAACCCCTCCTGGGTAAGTAGGTAAGTTTGTCAGCGGTGTAACCACTGTCTCTTGGCAAGCTGTCGACCTTACAACCTCTGNAAATTTGGCAGACCACCGAGACGTACTCTCCCCAGACCTTTTCAGTCACGGCAGCCGTAGTAGCACCAGCCGTAGTGATTTGCTTAAACTCCCTATTTTCGAAGGGATGCAGGGAGGCTCGTCGGAATTTTACGGTATATGTGTTTTTTTTTTAATCCTGTAGGGTGTCTTAATTGTTTAGCTTGATCAAGTAGACTTAGAGTCACGTGTGACGATTACGATGTATCCCCCGTGGGGGGAGGCAGTGGGATGATCACGGTTNAGGCAGTGGGATGATTACGGTTACATTTATGCTCTGTGTACCATTGTTAGTTATTAAAACTATCGTGGACATTTGTTGGAGTGAAAACGATGGAGGAAACATATCCCCGGTTGGAGTTAGATGTAAACCTATGTAAGAACCGGGTTTGTGCCGTTTGAACAAGAGACGTACGTTTAGGGTCTCCGATGTACTCGCAGGATACATAGACATAATAGAAGCATTAAGGTTTTCATAATGTTGTTATCAAAATAGAAATAGCGCAAGCCACACCCAAGGCCCGTGTACCGTTGGAGCCAACATTGTCAATGCGTAGATGAAATACTCAACTACAAGGAAAGAGCTAAGAATTGAGAAATAGCACAAGCAAAGAACCAGCAAAGTTACACAATTGCGCTCCACCAGCATCATCCTTAAGTATTTTTTGGCTGAAGGTTTTGATTAATTAAACTTGAACTGAAGTCATAACGAAAAAAATTGAAATTGCGCATGACCACAATTTGAGCACAAGCACTACAAAAGATCTCACGTGAGTTGTCACGTGAGCAGACGTCATGTTTCACTTAAGCAATCGAAGATTAAGTCAGTTATACAAGATTCCAACCCCTGGCAAAAGAATTATAGCGGATTATGATACTCGGTGGTTCTACGACTAACTAATCCTAGTAAATGTAATAAGGTAGTGAACCGAATCAAAAACGAAACAAAAAAATCGCAACTGATGAAGCAAAGGGCGGGAAAATGCATCTGTCTTTGTTAGTTTAATTGTTTCGAAATAAACGAATGAGACAAGAGTAAAACAAATAAACAAACAAACAGAAGGTTTCGTGTGATTAGTGGAGCACGTTTACAATTATTTCGAAAGAAAATGAAACCAAGCAGAACCAAAGAATTACTGGCGATCGTGCAACTGTGTATTTTATTTCATCTGAAATCAAAATTACACAGGAATATTATTCTTGCTTAATACAATCATTTGATTAATAATCAAAACTAGAATAAGAAAATTACAAATGCTGAACTGACAACGGTGCGTTACTGAAACTTACAAACGGAATCCCGCGGTTTATCTTATGAAACTTTCAAATGCTTTAATAACATAATCGAAGTATTCTCTTACTTAAAGTGCANAACATAGACAAAATTTGAAGGAATACTATGAGTCGTAACTCAAGCTTGGTCATTTCAACTGACAGTGTCTTGATTTGCTTTTGCAGGGTGGCATATTTGTGTTTAACCTGTTCGACTCGTTTTCAGCCGGTTTGTCGCTCTTGTTCATTGTGTTTTTGGAGTTGATTGTTGTCGCATGGATTTATGGTGAGTGGCGCGTCTTTTTGGAAAACCGTTTTATCCTGGTCAGTGTTTAAAAAGTGTAGACAACACAGCTTCGGCTTAGTTAGAGCTTTTGCCTTTTGGAAGCATAAAGTGGGTACAAATGGCATCATTTTGCTTGGAGGATGAATTTTAGTCAAGAAAATACCCATCAACACGTACTTCAAAAGAGAGCATTACATGAAGAGTAGTAGTTCAGAGAATCTGATGTTTAACAATAGCATTCCAGATCAATATTTTTTGAGTTTTATGCCTCTTGTGACGTAAAGCTTATAGCGGTTACTTTTTCTAGGAGTTGACAGGTTTTCACGAGATGTTGAAGCCATGATAGGTCATCCAATTTCAAAATGGTGGCTGATTTGCTGGAAGTATCTGTCACCGCTGATGGTGTTGGTAAGTTCATTTGTACTCAACCTCGTTCTCATGGCCTTCTTCCACGGGAGCGAGTTTGCATTTTTACTGCCGCTGTGCAAAAAATACTAGGTCAATGGACTCCTAGTAACATTTAGTAAAGTCAATAAGTCTTCTGCCCAGACGGTCTTTGGGTTTGTCACGCGCTCCTCCCACGAACACCTGCTCAGGGGAGGAGAGATTGCGTGACGATAGCCCGAAGAACGTATGCGTTAGAGGTTTGGGGACAAGCACCAGTTGACTGATTTCGATGGTTTTGTTGCTAACATTGCCATGTTATGCGAGCGTGAGTGTCTTCGGAGTGCTCGTAAGTGCTCGAGACAGCTCGAGCTTGTTTTTGATTGGGCGAGGTGACATGCTTCTGATAAAATAAACCATATGTCCTCTTATTTGTCAATATCTTGTTCTTTTGCACATTCCGAAAGGGCTAATGATAAGCTCTGGATTCGTCTTTGGGACGTGGAGATGAAAAAGTGGCTTGATGCCTAGGGTCTTTTTGGAAGGAATGCGTTACTTAAAACCATTTAGGTGCATGCAAGAATGGTTCAGGACTTTTTTTTTACTATAAGTCATTAACTGAACATTATAGTTGTCTGAGCATACTCAGGCATAAAACTCGATAAAACAAGCCGCACAATAGAGGCCTAAGATCAAAAGAGGTTATAATCTTTGTTCAGCGTGTTTAAAGGGTTTAAAATTTAAATAAAAGCCCAAACGATTACATTCGAGTTGCTTATCATGGGAAGGATTTCGCTCCTAAAATTGGAAGTGGACAGAGTGGGGCTTACTTTCGAGTCCAAGGGGCCTGCTATATATTGAAATTCTACTGTGCTTTCTATCTTGATGTTCAGCTTAATCAAATACACTAGAATCACGTATGAGGATTACGTGTATCCCCCGTGGGGGGAGGCAGTGGGGTGGCTGATCACTGTTGCTTCTATGCTCTGTGTGCCACTGTTAGTCATTAAAACTATTGTAGACATTTATTTGCGTGGAAACCATGGAGGAGACACATCACAGGTGAGTGTAAGAGCTGGGTTTATACCGTTAGCGGACTGTGATGTACCCTCCGGAACTCAAGGGGTTTCATGATGTTGTTTTCTAGTTAAAAATAGCACAAGCCACACCCAACTTGGGTGTGTATTAATGCGAATATGAAATATTTAGCTACTTACAAGGAAAATATTGAGACATTTACTGGAAAAGGAGAACATTTGTGTGTCAACTGGCAATGTTTCTAAAAATTGCGCTCCACGAACTTCGTCCTCTCAGATTCATTCTATATTCTTTTTCCTTTCTCAAGCTGTTTGTGACCTTGACAAAGCTCAAAGTAACAAAAATCAGGATTGGCGTTAGGGATTTGCGTATGACCGCTGTTTGAGCGCAGACACTAAAAATAGGTCACGTGAATTGTCACGTGAGCAGACGCACTTTGTTACCTTATCTAATTTCTACGAGATTTCAACTCTTGGCTAAAGAATTAATTAACCATGATACTTGGCGAAACCTAGAGACTGACTCGCTAACTCAGTGGCGGGTTTCTTTCTTCTGCTTTTCTTTTCAGAATCTGCATGAGGCTATATTTGTTCCAGAAGAAAACCATGCCAAGGAATTGAAAGTCTGGGAAGGGGGTCATCAAACGCCAGTGTATATGACTGCTTTGTAGCCTCCTTAGATGGTGGATTGAAAAGCGCGCTTTACCTATGACGTTGAAGTGCTATGTAATAAGATACCAGGCGTTCAGTCGTCCATGTGTTTTATTATATATTTTTAAGGAATTTCTTCATATTAAGCTGTTCTAAGACTGGCCAATCACAATAAATGTTATAACGCTGTAGACCAATCAGAAAACGAAGCAGAAACATGTAACTGAGGCGATGGGCGGGAAAATGCACTTAAAAAATGACTTTTAGCTGCTGGCTTAATTGTTCCTAAATAAACGGACGAATGAAGAAAAAAAAATAAACAAATAAACAGCAAGTTTGGTGTGACTGGTGGAGCACGTTGTGTTTCAACAACAACAACAACAATAACAAGGTTCATTTTTACCGCAAAAAAAGCTAAATCAATTAATTGTAAAATAGTAATTAGAAATACATTCAGTAGCCGGTCACCCAAAATAACTATGAAGCTAAATTATTTGGGTGACCACCATCATGTTTCGATAGAAATTTAAGACAAGAAGAACAGAAGAATGACTCGTAGTCGTATAGCTGTGTATTTTATTCCATCTAAAATCAAAATTATACAAAAATATGTTTTTTCTTAATACAATCATCTGATTAATGAACAAAACTAGAATAAGATAATTACAAATGCCTGAAACGACAACGGAGCGTTAATGAAACTTATAAAGGGAATCACGCGGTTTATCTTATGAAACTTTCAAATGCTTTAATAACAAAATCGAAGTTTACTCTTAATTTAAGTGCGCTGACTTCTATGGCAAGTCTTCTGGACTTTCTCTGATCATGATTATCATAAATCTGTTTAGCAGTTGAACAGCTTAAAGGAGAAGGTTACTCCAAAAAATGTATTTTTTTTTGTCAACACTAATAAAAACCTTGCACCAAGTTTAGCCATTCACCGAAGTTTCAGCCTCAGTCTAAAGTGCAGGTTTTCCTTATGAAATTCGTCTCCAAAGAAGCCCAAAATTCAAATATCGTTACGTTGTCGCCATTTTGAACAGTACTCAACAGCCAGACCGCGTTTTCGTGACGTCATACCGTCCGAGAGAGTTTTGTCCAAATGGCTTCCGAGGAGCCTTTTAACTATCACTTTGGGTTGTGGCTGCTCTTGAGCCAAATTAGTGGTAAAATGATAGCATTGAAGATGGTGAAGTGGATAATCACTTGGAAAAAAAAAAGATTTTGCTGACCTTGTCAAGGATGCCAAGTCAGTTGCAGGTTTTTCTCCTTTCCGCCAATTTTGAATTAGACGGAATGACGTCACATAAACACGGCCTGGTTGCCGAGACAGTTTCAAAGTGGCGGCCTCCGAAGTCGCTTCTCTCGAGACGAATTTCTTGAGGATAGCGGGCACTTCAGAGGCTGAAACTTCGGTGAGTGGAAAAGCTGAATGTTTACTTGCTATAGGCGATGACAAAAAAAGTAAGCAATAGCTAGCTGCTTTGACATTTAACCTAACGTTCAATTGTCACCGTGCAGGAGAAAAACCCACTTGTCGTAGGAAGCTCCCGTGGAATCTTGCTGACTATGTAGGTTGTTTACCATTTACCGAAAAATTGCGGAAATTTAGGTGACATTGTAAATGGCAAGACAATTTTGGCTCGACCGACCGGAATACTTGTGAAATAAGCGGAGCGTCTTGAAAGGTAGTCCAAACTTTCCAACCGAAGCATCCGAGTTGAAAATGTGCTAACCGTTTCCAGTTCTTCGCCGCCATCTTGGAATTATGATCAAGTAAACGTTGAACTCGTGTAAATTGTTTTTTTTGTTTAGCAAATGGTAAATGGCCAATCCGAACGGAGCTTTCACGCATTTTTGCTTATCATTTGCACAACCGTAGGCGAACTGGTTTCTCCTTGTAAATGATAAATAAGCTTAATGTTTGTAAACACTGAATTTCGCTCTTGGTCTGTCAGTCTGTCATGGCGTATTTTTGGCGATATGATGGATAAAAAGCCTGCGACACTTCTCCAGGTGAAATCAGATCGCTTGCTGAAAAAATGCCCTTGTAATGTTTTCCAGGCGACAAGACTTATTTTGAACTTTCAGCTCACTTATGCTATAGTTTGGTGTTGGCTGTAATACCGGCATTTTGATCAAACTTGTTAGTATTCCTTAGATGCAGTACCAGATTTAAACCAGCTCTGCTAAATTGGGACAACCTGCCTAGATATTTGGTTAAATAATGAAAAAATTTCCGCTAATCCAACTCAAGTGCATCTATATCAGTCTAATGAATTGAATCCATCAGCAAATAAATGATTTGCTTTTCATGACACCTAGCAATATTCCGTTTAAGATAACTAATGGATTGGATGATGTTTCACTGCACCTTAGAGTAGTTCTTTAATATTAAACTTTTTAAAATCATAGTTAATAAAGAGCTGTTGTTTTCTACTTTGTTTCCTTTAGCCGAGCTTTTGTTTGAAAAACTTCACCCCTAAATATCTAAGACAAACTATCTCGAGACTCCTTATAATAAATCGAAACGGCTGAATCAGTTGTTCACTCAAAAATATGAACACTGTTTTCCTGAGTCAGTAATGAATACTTGCCCAGCGTTTGACACAGCAGCAAAATAAATTCTACGAAATTCGGCGGGCCCTTCTATTATCGAGTTTAGAAATTTTCCTTCCAGTGTAAAAACTTTACAATTTTTACCGTCACAGACTAACAAGTTGTTAAACTTGTCAACAGCGAGTCCAAGAGGATGGTCCAGCTCACCAGGCCCCTCTGTATCAACATCAAATAGAAATTCCCCTTCATTATTAAATACCTTGACGCATTGAGCCTTGTGTATTCATTCTCAAGAAATTCACGCAAAACAATGTTGAGCGAAAAGTCAACGAATTTGTCAAGGCACATAAGAAGAAACTTAAGTTAAACGCACCCCGCGGATTCTACAAACCGCAAAGGTCGGCCGCAAAGGACAAGTTTCTCACTCCCCGAGAAAGATGACTCGCCAAAGATGGCGAATATTTGGCGTGTCTTAACTAGCTCCCAGACAACAAACAGTATTCTCATTGTTTCTCTCTGAAATCAACACCTTATTATCTTTAAGGACATTTCGCATCGCTAATTACCTCACCGGAAATTAATTTGTTGTTTTAACCGTATACTTGTTACCAGTGAACCTTGGACCATATTATTATGAGTTGGCCCGTGAGCGCAAATTTATCCGATACTGGATAAACCAAAATCCACCGCTAAATCTTCGTTTAAAAGCTGAAATTAAAAGCACTCCGGATAAATTGCGCGTGCAGTAAAACACACCGCTGCATATTGTTTACTTGTTCCAAACAGTGAAACGTCACCTTGATGATAGTCAGCAGTGACAGTTTTAGACGAATCCACACGATAACAAAACCCAGGATTCATTTTCACATCATTAGCTAGTAGAATCAACAAAGGAATGTAAAAAACGACACACACACATTTGGGTGAACCGAAACCTTGCATAGTAACTCATTTGCCAAGAGCGAATTACTTTCCTTAAAGTTGGAAGATATATTGCCTCCAGGTAAAACATAAACAATAGCATAGACCAGAACTTCCCCCTTACACGACTTGAGTATTCTTTGGCTTTCGGATAATCCATAAAGCACAATCCACACTCAAACTTCTTCGTTTAAAAGCTGAAAATAAAGGCACTCCGCCGATCCTACAAAATCTACAAGTCGGCCGCAAAGGTAGCTCCCAGAGTGCATTTCGCTTCCACAGAGGGGTAATCGTGCGCGACATAAGCGGAGCCCGAAAAAAGTGCGAAGTCACTTATCCAAAGGAATGCAGCTTGCCAGCGCCAGCTATAAGCGAGTGACTACGTCATCGCTTTAAAGTGCCCTTGTAATGTTTTCCAGGCGACAAGACTTATTTTGAACTTTCAGCTCACTTATTCTATATACTAGTAGTTTGGTGTTGGCTGTAATGCCGGCATTTTCATCATAATTATTAGTATTCCTCAGATACAACGGTACCAGATTTAAAACAGCTCTGCTGAACTGGGATAACCCGCCTAAAGGTTTTGTTAAATAATGAAAAAGAAAAATGATAATAATAATAAAAAAATATATAAGAATTTCCAATAGTCCAACTCAAGTGCATTTATATCAGTGAAATGAATTGAATCCGTCATGATTTGCTTTTCATGACACCTAGCAATATTTCAGTTAAGATAACTAATGGATTGGATATGATGTTTCACTTTATCTTAGAGTAGTTCTTTAATATTAAACATTTTGAAATCGTAGCAAATGAAGAGCTGTTGTTTCCTACATTGTTTCCTACAGCCGAGCTTTTGTTTGAAAAGTTTTACACNAGTTTTCTTAACATTCCCTGAGAAAGATTATCATAAGACCTGGCCAGCAGCTTAATGGTAAAACACCATGAGCCCTCTACGATACAACTCTCGGTATAAAGTAACTGATCTCAAAAACTTGTTCAATTAGATTAAAAAAAGCATGCACCCTTTCGGGCGTGTGTCGTTTTCTTGAGAAAGCTTTTAATATCTACATTGTTAAAATTGTTCGTGACTACTGTAGGTTTGCAACAACATTACGTCAGACAATAGCTAGCTGCTTTGACACTTTACATTACGTTCAAGTGTCACCGTGCAGGAGAAATAGGAAGCTCCCGTGGAATCTTGCTGATGATGTAGGTTGTTTACCATTTACCGTAAAATTTGTCCCGATCAACGGAAAACTTTCGAAATATATAAACGAAACGTCTTGAAAGGTAGTCCAAAATTTCCAACCGAAATATAAGAGTGCAAAATACGCTTATCATTTGCAATTCTTCACCGCCATCTTGAAATTATGATATCAAGTCGAACTCGTGTAAATTGTTTTTTTAACAAACGGTCAATGGCCAATTTCTATTTGCAGGCAATCGTTGACGAACCGGTGTCTCGATGAGTAAATGGTAAACAACCGTAGGGTAACCAGACCTCGAATATTAATAACAAAAAGAATCGGACCTTAACATGTGTAAACACTGAATTTCGCTATAGGACTGTCAGTCTGTTATAGTGTACTTTTGTGGATATAATGACGCAAAAGCCTTTTCCACGTGAAATCAGATCGCTAGCTAAAACAAATGCCCTTGTAATTTTTTCCAGGCGACAAGACTTATTTTGAACTTTCAGCTCACTTATTCTATAGTATGGTGTTGGCTGAAATGTATTTTCATCATAATTATTAGTATTCCTTGGTTATATGTTGACTTAGACTTATGTTTGTTCATTTCATTTCTCGCTGAGTACAAAGAAAGTTGTTGTTGTTGTATATGTTGATAAATAATGAAAAAAAAAAAGTATGCAAGATTTTCAACCAATCCAACTTGAGTATATTTACATCAGCCAAATGATTTGAATTAGTCAGCTACTAGATGATCTGCTTTTCATGACACCCAGCAATATTTCATTAAAGATAACTAATGGATTGGATATGATGTTTCACTTCACCTTAGAGTAGTTCTTTAATATTAAACATTTTAAAGTCATAGCAAATGAAGAGCTGTTGTTTCCTACATTGTTTCCTACAGCCGAGCTTTTGTTTGAAAAGTTTTACACCCAAAAATACAAAAGTCTCTAAACTCCTTTATAATAAATCGAAAAGGCTCAAACAGTTGTTCACTCAAAAACATGAACACAGTGTTTTTCTGTGTCAGTAATGAATACTTGTCCAGTGTTTGACACAGCAACAGCCCAAGGCTCTTGAAATTGGGCCGACTGTCCTTTTATCGAGTTTACAAATTTTCCTTCAAGTGTAAAAACGTTAACATTGCCACCTTTTTTGTCACAGACAATCAAGTGGTTAAACTTGTCAACGGCGAGTCCAACAGGATGGCACAGCCTACCAGGTCCTTCTTTACCAATATCGTATAGAAATTCTCCTTTACTGTTATATACCTTGACACAAGAAGCTGAATTATAGGAGACAAAGAATTTGTCTTGATGACACAAGGCTACACACGGGGACACAACACAACGTGGGTCGCTGAAGAACTGCAGCAAATCTGCACCGTCAGCGGAGAGGACTGTGACCTTTTTGTCCTTAAGGTCACAAACAAGCATGCGGCCATCAAGAGCAATGGTCATGTCTCCTGGTTTGATCAAGTGTTCGTTGGAGATATCTATAATGGACTCAACATTTTCAGTGAAATAATAGATCTCACGATAGGAATCAAGAACAGTGACGCCACCAGCACTGTTGAAAGCTACTGAAATGGGATTGTTTAACTTTTTAGCGGTTGGTCCGTTCCGATCATACTGTTTCAAATAAGTTCCATCTGAGCTAAAAAGTTGCACTCTCTTATTGTGAGCATCAGCTACTGCAATGTTCCCTGTCTTGGGATTTATTGCAATATCGCGAGGTAGATGAAATTTTCCTGGTGTTTTACCCTGTGATCCAAAACATCGTACGGCATGGTATTGATGAGGCTTCACGTGAACACTCCTTGGGCTACTAGTCAGCGATTGACGACTGACTTCAAACACCACGTCATGACGCCCGTCACATTCGGCTTTGATGGTGATGCTGTATTTGCCACTTTCGTTGTCTCCAGTGTTGGTGCCGAGGTCTTGTTCTGACGGAACAAAGTTGGCAAAAGTTGGCAAAGTTTTGAAAAAATCTGTAAATAGGGTTTAGAGCCACCTTAGATTTTCAAACGGTTAAGGTGGCTCTGAACGCTATGTACAGATTTTTTAAAAACTTTGCCAAAAGCTGCGTCTTATCATGTTTATTAAAATCTGATAATATCAAAAAATTTCACTGTGCCGTTTTTGAATTATAAGCCCCTAAAACGGTAATTAAGGGTGTTTTTAGCAGGTCACACTGTTGCTATGGTAACCTATTGTGTGATAACAACGTGTTTACCGATGATTGGGCAGTTTTTTTTTTTTATCAAGAGATAAAGAGTGGTTATAATGACCCATCCAAATCTAACTGCTGGAAACTGTTTTGAGCCACCTTAAAAGTTATTTTTAGACATTGGACGCAGTTCTTCCACGGATGTTACTGGCGCGTTGCGTGTCTTTTATGTTCTGTCTACAAATTCAAGAACAAGGAAAGCCTCCAACGCTGAAAGGATGCTTTCTTTGATTATAAGATAAAAGAACGGAAAGAAGCAACCTCGCTATGTTTTAATGCATATCAAAACTGTAATAGGGTTTAAATACTAAAGAGACAGATGTCCCCTTCCCAGACAAGGAAACTCAATGAACGGCAGAGAAATGAACGGCCAAACGAGTGCAAGGAAAATAAACCCCAAACACAACGCAAACGAATTTTATTGGTTTTATTTTTTTGTAACTATATCTGCGTTAATTTCATATAAATGACGACAATTTTAAAATTCACAGACATGTTGCGGCAGGAACATCTGCTTTCATTGGTGTGATACAATAAGCGCATAGACCATAGAATATAAATGCTGGAAAATGCTAAAGAGTACAATAGCGGCAAGAAGAGGAAAAAAAATACAATAAAGAAAAGCGTGACAATTACAGTAACAAGTTTAGAACATGTTTGATTTGATAATTAAGAGAAGGGTTTTTCCACCTAATGTGCAGAGCCTCTTTGATCTTGAACTGGAAGCTGGTGCTACGTAGCTTGATCAATCACGTGAAAGCAATCCCTGGAGCTTGGAGGCCCGTCAGCTCTCAGAATTCCGTAGGTGTATACCAGTATGTGAGTTTTTGAACATTGAAGCGCAGCCAGGATGAGATATCATCAAAATTACAATAAAAACGTTCGCTGGCTAAAATTTCAAAAAAAGAACATGAGCTTTCGGCTGTCTATCTACAGCCTTCGACGGATAAAAAATGGAATGCAAAATGATAAAATATATGCGAGAAAAGGCGAGATAAAAATAATAAGAACAAAAGCAAAGTAAAAATGTGAAAATTAGGTGACTGTTGTGTAAAAAGAATACTATACTGGTTTGGAATCGGCTTAGAATTATTGTCAGCATGCTTGGTCGCAGAGGTGTGCCAAGCCTCCAAAGTTCTGCCAATGCGAAAAGAGCCTCTGTCTATGACGCTAGAATTGTCAAAATCTATGCGATGGTCGAATGACCATGCATGTTTCGCAATGTTTGATCCATTAGCACATGTTTTGCCATTCCTGATATGTTCTTTCTTACGAGTTTCAAAACATCGGCCGGTTTCGTCTACAAATCACGTTAGGTTGATGTTCAATAGATGGTCTGAATTTGGGAGAAGAAAATTCTTGTTGCAAAGTCTTGAAGTGCTTATTTACAACTTAAATGTCGTGCCTTCAAATTGCGTGACACCATTGATGAAGGGAAGGACAGCAAGACTGTTAGGATTCTCTTGAGGCGCAGCCCATTAAAAAAAACCCTGCAAACCAATTCTTCAGGTGTGGGGATGGCGTGTGTGGGTGGTTTGGAAAATTTCTGCTTTAAGATGTTGGAATTAACATAGGAGGGATAGTTGTTGGCTCGTAGAGCATAAGTGACGTGGTTGATTTCGGTATTTTTCCTTTGCGATGTACTAGGGAGTTTAATTGCGCGATGTAAGAGGGTTCTTTTGTTCTTCTTCTTATTTTTATCTCGCCTTTTCTTGCATATATTTTATCATTTTGCATTCCAGTTTTTATCCGTCGAAGGCTGTAGATCGACAGCCGAAAGCTCATGTTCTTTTTTGAATTTTTTTGCCAGCGAACGTTTTTATTGTAATTTTGATTGTGTGAGTTTTTATTCGTTATAAGGTGTTCACTGACACGTGTGGAAAAAAGTTGGGTAGTTTCATCGACATAGCAAGCGTTACAGCCTGCACAGCCTGCACATCGTTTAACTAAACCCGTTATGCGATTTTGTGTGATACTGGAAAACCTGCCTATGTACAGGAACTTGAGATAGAGAGTTGGTGTTTCTGTGGGTTCATGTGATGACACAGCTTGAGATTGTTTGTTTGTAAAATAGCTATTTACGGTACCCTTAATCGTATACCGTCTCTTGCATCTAAGCATGAACACGTGACGCCGAAACATGCTCTAATTGGGTGTCAAACGTGGCATAATTGGTCATCAAACATTTGAAGTTTAATAGACCGTGGCGCGAACTTTCCCGCTCAAAGTTCAGCACACGAAATGGCAGAAAGATTGGACATTGAAGATTTCTTCAGAGAAATTGACCCTGACCTTTGTTAATATGCATGTGCGCCTTTCGCGAAAGTGGCTTTACTCATAGTATAACCATGAAATATTGGCGGGAGCAAGACCTTCAGAGTCTTCTAGTAAATATCTCCAAAGGACATCGAGACTGATTTTAAACATAGTCACGAAAGTTCGCTTTACGGTCTGCTAAACTTCAAATGTTTGGTGACCAATCATGCCACGTTTGACACCCAATTAGAGCATGTTTCGGTGTCACGTGTTCACGCTTAGATCCAAGCGACAGTATGTGGCCAGGGAAACAATTTCTCTTTAGAGTGTCAATATGGTTGTGAATGTCTTCGTGGAAGCCCCTCCAGGTGTTGATAAATTTGTAAGTCCTGTGTATAAGTTTCTCCGTGAGGCCCATCTTGTAAGATTTAGTAAAGTTAGTGTATCTGTACAAATTTGTCGTTCAGGTGTCGTGTATACATTTTCTTGAGTCTCATAGCAAACCAAACAAATTTCCCAGAACTCTGATACAACCTGACATGAAACTAGCATATGCCTTATCTAGATCTTGTTTTGTTTTTGAGCTAACAGATGATCAAAAGTGGACTGACGCTCACCTCCCCCCCCCAAAAAAAGCAAAATGGAGTTTAAGCGACTACGAGGGCAACTCCAAGGACACCGCCTATTAATAAGATGAAAAATGAATTTATATTCAACCTGCGAATCTCACAAGAATTTAGTCTATCACTGTCAGAGCTATCCCAAACTTAACATGTAGGACACATCAAAATTCGAAAACTAAAACTTGGGCGTCGTAGTCCACGTTTTCTAGAATACGCAGAATTTGGTCATTTGGCTTTGTTGTTTTGTAGAGGGTGTCGCTAATGTCTTTTGTACTTTGTGTCTTTTTCCTCAGCTGACTTCTTTGCATACATCTTATTCGTGATTATTTGAGTAGTTTCCCCGGGGCGCGGGGAGGGGGGGGGTACTCCTTCTATGGGCTATATAGGTATGTGCAGCCCCAAACGGTACTATGGTTTTTCAGCCGTTTTGGTCATAAATAGGGTATCGATTTTAGCTGAGTTTAGCCATTTTGGTCATAAATAGAGTATGGTTTTTGCACTCTAGCCTAGATATAGGTATGTTGCCCGCGCTAGTGTTTTGTATCGAATGTTGTTTTTGCATTTGTTTTTCCAGCCAGTCCTTTCAAACTTATTAAATGTAATAAGCAATGATGATATGTTGATTTACTATCATCTCTGTTAAAATTTTGGCTTTTAATGTTGAATTATAAATGCCCAAACAAATGCGTTGTTTACCGTTTATGTGGCTTTATTTGTGATTTTCTTGAATTTCCTTCGGTGAAATTTTCCAAATTAAAATTTTTACGGTACATTGGATACTGCGGGATACGAATTTTAAACACGAAAAAAGTAGGATTTTTTTTTACTGGCAGATTTTTAGATTATTGCAAATTTGTCTTTTACCGCTGCAGAAAAACTGGTCAGGTAGATTTCGGAGAAAAACGAGCTCCAAAGTAAAATATTTATTACAAGTCTGCCAAATTTTACGGAATTTCACTGTAGGAAACGCGAGAAAATTCACTGTCAGTTTTGCTTTTTGCACTCGTGTTGGCGTCATAAAATATCGAAAAACACTGACGTTTTCCTTTGAGCGCGCGCAGATTACCTGACTATTCGTTCTAAGCGCGCGTGCGATCGTAAAACTATAGGGAGCCACCTTAAGAAGAAGCCACTTTTTCGTTATTGTCGAAAAGAAAATCAACAAAAGCCCTTCACAAATTATGCTTGCGGTAATTAAACGGTGGTCTGAACTAGGGAACTACTTGTAACGTAGGTCTGAAACAGAGTTTTGATTTAAGAGTCAGGTCATAAATAGGGTAGGGAATATTACAGATTTTGGTCATAAATATGGTAAGAGTTTTGGGAAGCCGGCCCACACCCCCACCCAATTTTTTTGGAATTAAACCCCCGGGAGTAGTTCTTAGTATTGTACCTATCAATGGGCTTCTCGTTGCTGGTGAAAAACGAACACCAGGAACCCATGGTCCTGGGCTTCCCTACCAATACATAAAGTCGCTGCGCCCATTAATCCTTTGTTGGCCTTACGTTTTGTGGTATTTTTTGCTCTGCAGTCAATGTATGTATATAACTAATTTTCGAACTGACTGACGGGCGGAACTAAAACACGAACAATTCAAACGATTTAATCAAACGGATCGGGGTTTTATATACGTACACGAACACAAAAAATGAGCGAAACCTATTTTTCAAGCCAGATCGACCGGACTGCGTTTAGGGAGTTTGCCTCTTAAACTCCTGAAAACCAACTGAACGGCAGAGGACTGAGCATGTAAACGATCACAAAGCCTGAAAGAAAGACTTGCCGAACAAAAAGACGGCTGAGAGTTGAGAAAAAATTCATGCTGTGGACTTTTCAGCACATTTCCCGCCACTTCGTCTCTGGCTTCTTCGAGAATGTCGCTTGGGCTGTCCACACATCGAGCGAGTAACATCCGCAGAAAAACTGGGTACTCTATCTCTAAAAATAACTTAAGAACAACTTACCTTGGGTATGGGGCCATATGGGGGATAAACTCTCTTACCTTGATCTTTTCTTGTCCCAAGTCAATGTCGTCAAAATTACGTGAAAAGCGGGCTGCATCATCCACTCGTCTAATCAGTCTATTCTATGTTAATGACCATTATATCATAGGCATAGGCATAGGCATAGGCATAGGCATAGGCATAGGCATAGGCATAGGCATAGACATAGGCATAGGCATAGGCATAGGCATAGGCATTATAGAGGAGCTTTGGCGGTCCAAGCGGAGCCCCATACTCATAGAAACTTTCCTCATGGTAAAATGATAATAGCAGTATTGCTAACGGTATTGCCCGTGGGCGCGTACGCACGACGACGACGACGACGTCGCAAAAATGGCGGCTATACTCCAGCTAATAAGTTGACCGAGACATGCAGCTTTGGTTTACTGCATCCATCTTTGATATTGGACATTCATGTTATCGTCAATTGACAATTGGGGGAGTATCAAAACAAGGTATCCGCTGACTAGTATCAAGTAAACATATTGCGGGCTTACGGTCAGAGCTCAACGAGATCACGTTTTTTTAAAGTTGACCGCTAACCAAGAACGGTGTTTCTATCGGATCGCGGGCTAAAGCCAGGTTAACTTATTGTAATCAGGACCGGGTTGTTAGGAAGCCGGTTAACGCTAACCCAGAATTAAAATTTAACCAAAGTATAAATTGTTCTTGTATAAAAATGTTCTTACTACTTATGTTTTCAAATTCAGAGGACCAAACAATATAAACAGAAAACCTCACCACAAAGTTAAAAAACTCGAATCAAAATTCTCGCTTATCCAAGATTAGCTTAATCACGCTCTGAACAACCGGGCCCAGGAGCCCCGCTTTTAGGCTTGGCTAAATATATATATTAGTAATCATAGGCCCAGGGGTGTTCATCTTTTTTTCTTTAACAACACTGTTCCAAATTGAAGCTATGCCCAATTTCAGACCAAACCATCTCAATAATCATTCTCTTAGACTATATATACCTAGATAACTTACATTACAGAGTATATCCCCTTCCTGGGAGTACTCAACCTCTCTGTCTGAAGTACGATGGAGTTGACGAACGTTATTGATATAGGTAACCTCGAAAACATATAAGAGTTATTAAAGCTCACCTTCATCACTCGATTCCTTTCGGTTAGCCGTCACAGTTGCTGCTGTTAAATCATCAAGTTTTTTCATGACATCTTTCATCGTGGTTCCAATCTCTTTCAGCTCATCTTTGATGTTGTTCTCGTCCTTTTTCCATTCACTGAGAAGTTGTTTGTAGTGATCTTCAATTTCAGGGTCCATGCACTCAGTTTCCAGATTGTCAATAGCTGCCCTGTACCTAACTCCTCCTAGTCTCACCAGAGTGTCCCGGATGTCTTGCCAGTACGCGTTGAACGTTGTGTCATCAACCGAGGCTTGCTCGGCATGCGCGTACACGGTGTTTCTAAAGTACTTAACACGAGCAATATCCGCTTCACGACTCATGTCCGTTTCAGCGGGAAGTGTGTCCCATCCGTTTATTGGAGAAGGCAAGCCTCCCAAATTTCGTAATAGAACCATCAAAAGAGTAATGTCAAAGTCTCTCGAAGACACTTTAGAGGGAAAAAAAGGGAAGAGCTTGCCCCATTGCGTTGCATTGATAATTTTCCTGCATCTAAGGGATTGTAAAACGGTGTCTTTGTTTGCCAAAACTGCGTGAAGATTTGCCGGTGCATGAATGGCATCAAATGTATCCCTGAGGGCCTGGGTACCAACATCAACCAGGAGACGACACAAGCGTGCGTAGTTGGTCGTCACTTTGGTGGATAAAGTTGCTGGTGTTGAGCTTGCCATGAGAGTAATCTTTTATTGCTCAGTGCTAGGTAGAGAAAGAAACAAGATTCTTTACTTCTAAGGACTGTTAATATAATGTTGGTACTCGGACAACGTGAAAACAGAAACTGGCGTGTACGCGATGCTCTTATTTTGTGTCTTTTGCTCAGAGAGACCGAGCCATAGGTACGGGTTCAGTTAGCGAACGAAATGCCGTGGTATAGACCCTTTGCATAAATAATAAATAATAATAAAAAAATATTTATATAACGCCAAATCCACTAATTGTCCATGGCGCTTTACATTAAATAGATGGCACCAATATTTGAGTAACAATACTTATACATCTTAAGCCTCACATTCACGTGAAAAATCCTTTGTCTGGAAACATGAACACGAGGCGTAGCATGTGTAAACTATTTTATTTCACAACACTCCCATTCATGCTCAGTTGAAATAAGGTATGGGAATCATGATTGATCAGCGGACTAAGCCAAGATGGAACAGCTTGGTTTAGGGGAGGTCGAGTCTAGCGGTGGGAGGGTGAGCCCGTTCCCTAATCCGATCTCCGCTGGAAAACCGGGCGGAAAATCGAGCACGAATGGAGTGAAGTCGTTTTGGTATTTATTGCAGAACTATTACATAACTGGTGCGAAAAATGCTCACCTAGTCGAGAAAACTACATTGTTGTTGCGCATCGAACTTTGCATATCATTATGAGTATTGTGAATAGTATTTTTATTCATATTTAGGTACCTTTTATGCAAAGGGTCTATAGCACAACATTTTGCTCGCTAACTGAGCCGGTACCTGTGACTCGGTCTCTCTCTCACTGTATAATCTGTATCGAACTGCTTTGATCTGTTGAAACTCACAGCTTCGTCATCGATCCTATTTTAATGATTTGATTTCGTGCGGAGAGCACTCTTAACCTGAATTTCAGCTATGTTACTGTTGGCTAAAAAACACGGCTCCTTTCTCTATCAAGTAATTTGTTTATGACAACTGCTTGAGAAGCGCTTCTATCTCACGTGTGAAATGCCTGAGCATCCAAGCATAAAACCGTGTTTTTTCCCCAATGCGGTATAGACGGATTCGGCTAAAGTGTTTAAATCCTTGTTGCCACCCAATTCAGACTACGTAATGTTTCATTTGGGATGTTACAATTGCACAATTTGCCGCCTGCAACTGATAAGACTGGATGGGAGTATGTACAACGGAACAATACGTGTTCAGCAGCCAAAGTAGAAGAACTTTCTGAGTTGGCTGCTGCTTATAAAAAGACATAGGAAAAGAAAAGAAGAACGAACAACCCCCAGTATAAAAACCACCCAAACGATGATTTATTGCCAGTCTGGTCTATCGAGAAACGATTTAGTTGTGAAAACTCAAGTTTATTTTTGACCGGTGGTTGGCGTTTAGAGTCAGATAGCCTAGTCTCGGTAACCGAAGGAAGATTAGACGATAATTCCGACAATTCCGCTTTCAGTAGTCGCTTCTTGTACAGCGCAGCATAGCGCGCATGCCCACACATTAGCAAAACAACCTGTATCAGTGATGGTAACTCGCTGAGAGAGTGAATTATTACTGAAAGAATACTTACATAGGCCTAACACTAAAAGCTAGGGAGACTGCTGTTGAATGGCTCCTTAATTGAGCGTGTGGCAAAAACCACAAAATGCAAATATAATTTTTGTGCTAAATTTCGCATCATAAAAAAAACCAGATGAGCTACACAACCTCACCCGAATAGACTGTTTGTGGGGTAATATCTCAAAGTATATGCATATATCTAATAAAGCACTCTGTGGATAACTATGTGGTCTGCAACTGTTGTTAACACTATAATAAAAATACCTCAACCAAAACTTGGAGGTAATTAGTTGCTCTCTCGGGGTAGTTATAAGTGGTTGGTTGGGTTCAGTGCTTCTTAAAAACGCTTCATTTCGGTTCAGAAATCGCTGGAAAAAAGTTGTAGACTTGCGAAAGGAAGCCGACAGACTATAAGCGCCAATTCATAATTATCCCTTGAGAGTATCATCCGACTCATCGAAGGCATGTTAGCTAACACAAATATACGAGTAAAACCGGTCAAAATTTGTTACATGCTTCAAGAACAGATCGGTTATGATAAAGAGAGAAAAGGGATTCTCTTTCAGTCGAAAGAAAATCGACTGAACACGTGATTGAACACGTAAAAAGAGTTGAAAGTTTGATTGGTTGTTTTCTATACCAGAGAGTCATAATCCGACGTAGCGGATTTGGCAGGCTTCTTTTAGTTTGTCCTGCTATTCGTCTTAGTTTATTACAGAAGACAGATAATTCGTCAAGAACATTAATAAAGAATACGGGTAAGACTAGCTTCATTCAAATCTCGGGGTGTTTAGGTTACGCAATTAATTTTCTTAAGATATGTCATGTTTACTTGGGGTAGATCAGGTGATCACGCAGTTTCAAAATATTGGATAAAAAATGCTGCATTTTGAGCCTTTTGAATCAATTCACTACGATTTGATTATTCACAGAGTGGACTAATGTTTTGGTGTGTGATAGAATAGTGATTTAGAAAGGGGTCGTGGAAATGAGATATCTGCCATTGTTGTACAAGAGGAACCTGTTCAAACTTGATGAAATTGGCGAGATGACGTCAATTTGCTGGTAACAAATGTTTCAGTCGGTTAAAAAGAGTCAGTGAACTGTGTAGGCTAACAACAAAGTTATCACGATCGTTGTGCGAACTTGGGTTTCATTTGATGTTTTTGTGCGCTAGAGTTGAACATTTGCAGTTCGAAACAATTACGTCAGTTTGTTACTCTTGCTTAATTGTAAAACCGCAACTGTTTGTTTCATGTTAACCGGTATTATGGAGGCGAAGCTTTCTATTTATTTATGTTTCGTTCTTTCTGATATATCGCTAAAAGAGACAATTTCATAAATGTAAATATCAAAGAGAAGAAAAACGAACAACGAATCAAAACCACCGAAACGATGATATTTCCTTGTTTATTGCTAAATAGACAAGTAATTAATAGTGTGCTTTATCAAGAAAAGATTTACTTTTGACAACTCAAGTTTATTTGTGACCGTTCACCTTTAAAGCCAGATAGCCTAGTCTCGGTAACTGAAGGAAGATCAGACGATAATTCCGATAATTCCGCTTTCAGTAGTCGCTTCTTGTAAAGCGCAGCATAGCACACATGCCCGAACATTAGCAAAACAAACTGTACCAAGAGAATGAATTATTACTAAGCGAATACTTAAATAAGCCTAACACCAAACGCTATAGAGACTGCTGTTGACTAGCTCTTGAATTGAGCGTATGGCAAAAGGCGCAGAATGCAAGTAAAGTCATTATTATGATTGTTGTTGTACTAAACTTCGCATCTCGAAAAGACCAGATGAGCTACACAACCTCACTCGAATAGAATCAAAACAAAACTTACCTTGGGAATTGGGCAATGTCGGATTCTCTGTGTCAGGAAGCAGACTGTTTGCGGGCAAATATCTCAAAGCATATGCGTAACTGGGCACTAAAGCACTCTGTCAATAATTATGTGGTCTTCAACTATTGTAAACTATAGTAATGAAAGGTACTGAGTCACATCTTGGAAGGTAATTAGTTGCTCTCTTAGGTAGTTATAAATGGTGGATTGGTTGGGTTCAGTGATTCTCAAAGAAATCTGCGTTTCGGTTCAGAAATTGCTGAAAAGGTTGCAGACTTGCGAAAGAAAGTTGACGGACTCTAAAACGTCAATTCATGATTATCCCTTGAAGGTAGGTATTCCGACCCGTCGAAGGCACGTTCGCTTCCGCAAACAAATGAATAAAACTGGTCATAATTTGTTACATGCTTCAAGAACAGATCAGTTATGATAAAGAGAGAAAAGGGATTCTCTTTCAGTTGAAAAACAAGTCGAGTGACTGAACACGTGACTGAACACGTGACTGAACACGTGACTGAACACGTGAAAAGAGTTGGAAGTTTGATTGGTTGTTTTCTATACCAGAGAGTCATAATCCGTCGTGGCAGACTTGGCAGGGTTCTTTCAGTTTTTCCTGCTATTCGTGTTAGTATATTACAGAAGACAGATAATTCGTCAAAAACATTAAGAAAAAAAATAAGAATAAGACTACCTTCATTCAAATCTCGGGGTGTTTAGGTTACGCAATTAATTCTGTTAAAATAGGTCATGTTTACTTGGGGGAGACACGTGATCACGCAATTTCAAAATATTGGATAAAAGTTGCTGGCTTTTGAGCCTTTTGAATGAATTTGCTACGAATTGATTATTCACAGAGTGGACTAACGTCTCGGTGTGTGATAGAAAAGTGATTTTGAAAGTGGTCGTGGAAATGAAATATTTGACATTGTTGTACAAGAGGAATCTGTTCAGGCTTGATGAAATTGGCCACATGAAGTCACTTTGTTGGACGATAATGTTGTGCTAGAAACAAATATTTCAGTCGGTTAAAAAGAGTCAGTGAACTGTGCAGGTTAACAACAAAGTTATCACCATTGTTGTGCGAACTTGTCCGGTAACTCGCCCGTAGTTCATCGAGTATCGCCAGCCGGGTAGGACAATAGTTATGCTATTTTGAAGAAAATATGTTGTTCCTTGTCAAATTAAGCCTATAATCGTATCTATAACAAAATTCTCGATCGTGATTGGTTCTCCGTGCGCTTATTTGTTAAGTAATCGGCGCGCGATCACGCGGGTGTCCAATTACACGTATCCAATTTGAACTTTTCGTAATTGGACACCTGTATTTGGATAACCACGTGATTCGCACGTCAATTACGCGCGCTTTAATGGTTTCCTTCGCACTGTTTCCTACAGTTTTCCAAACTTATGAAAATCGTTACAGACGTTTTCGCTCAAAAGAAGTTCTCAAAAGACATTTTTAACTCCAAATTTTGTTATAGATACGATTAATTAGTAATTGGACCTCGTGTCGTACAATTCAGGGAGTAATCGTGCTCGTAATTTCAAGTCGGCATCGCGCTTTGCACTCGTCTGATTTTGAAATTACTCGAGCGA